CCCGCGTGTGTGTGTGTGTGTGTGTGTGTGTGTGTGTGTGTGTGTGTGCGTGCGCGCGCACACGCGCGCGCGCCCTGGTGGGAGCATCAATGGGACTCAAAGTGCGCGGGAGTTGAGGGGGGCGAGAGAGGAGGGAGGTGGCGGCGCCTGGAGCAGACATTCCAGCGGGGGCAGGGGGTCCCCAGCCCCTCCCAGTCGGCTTTCCTGGACAAAGAGGGAATTCAGAGCCAGTTGTTTGCCTCCTGCGGCTGATCCCCAGGGGCCTCCCAAATGAGTCTGGGGTCTCCAAACAGATGGCCAAATGGAAGGAAGTGGCACAGGTATCCCCGGGAGGGCTCTAAGTGCTCTCCGCCCCCGTCCACTGAGGGAGCCACAGCCAGCCCTTCCTGGAGGGAGGGAAATGGGTTCTCTCGCTTCGCTTCTAAATGATGTCCCCACTGAGCTTGGAGCTCCCTCCTCCCTAGGCAGAATTCCCATCTCTCGTTCCTTATAAAAATGTGACGCCAGCCTCCAGTCTGCAGGAGACTCAGCTGGGGGCGGATCAAGGACTCCTGGCAAATGCTCCTTTGCAGTAGGTCCCTAGAAAAAGCCTAGCCACTCAAGGCTATGTATACTTTCAACACAGGCTTCCTCTCAAAATCAGGAAAGCAGCAAGATTTGGGGTACAGTAGAGACAGCAGGAACCGGGGAATCCACTTAAATCAATGCTGCTTTAGATGGCCAGAAACTGGGGCCCAGAACATGACCACTCTACCCCAAGTCACACACCTGCCAGGATAAGGACAGTGCAGCCTCAGCCCAGAAAGGCTTCCCATGCTGCCATGGGGCAGCCCTGCTGCAGTTGGAACAGCCCAGCCCACCTTTTAAATCCTTTCAAATGAACAGGTGGCAGTCACCAAGAGGCTGGGTGCTTGCTGGGTCTCCTGCACCCTGCCAAGGTTGGACAGGAATGTCAGGGGCTTTCACTGTGAAGGGATATTCATGGCTTGGTCTGGAGGCTTGGTCAAGAGTCCCTCCGCTCAGGTTGGGGATCTCTTGGTCCAGGTTTCTCTGTCTAACCCCATGTTTGGACCTCAGTCTTGACTTGCAGTTCTCCACCCAACTCCCACCCATCTCAGGGCCGCTGTGGCTGTGCAGGAGCCGTGCCCAAGTCAGGGAAGTCAGGAGCACTGTTCTGGTTTGTTCTGGCATGCTGGGCTCCACCACACTCCCATCCATATGCCAGAGCCCACTAGAGCATACTCAAATGCAGTGGGGGAATGGGCGAGGAGCACACCTCTGCCTCCTAGTCTTCAGTGCTGACAGCCAAGGGAGATCAGGGCCCTGTGAGCCCGCAAGGGTCATCCCATGCAGAGATTATCTGCAACTTGATTAAATGGACTATCATAGTTTTCCCTAAAAAAAAAAAAAAAAAAAAAACATGTGGTGGTGTGATCTCAGCTACTCAGGAGGCTGGGGCAGGAGAACAAGTTCAAGGACAGGCAGGGGAATTTAGAAAGACCCTGTCTCTAGGGAGGGACCCCTGAGGGTATAGCTAAGCACCTGCAGCATGGCAAAAAGAACAAGAAATGATGGGGAGGTTTTATGTTTGGAAAAATGTTATGAATTCTTAAGGCCTGGGGTTGATCAACAGATCAAAGTTTCCCAAGAGATCTTGACTCCTGGCCTGGCAAAATCCATTTTCTTTCCTTATCTCTTAAAATGGAGATAGTGATACTCCCCACCCAGATGGGCAATGACATTCAAATCAAAGTGTCCTCCCAAGCCCTACCTATAGGAAGCTCGATAATGGCCCCTAAAGGTATCAGGTCCCAGTCCCTGGCACCTAGAAATGCTACCCTATATGGCAAAGACTCTGCAGCTTTGTTAAGGATCCTGAGATGGAAAGATGATCCCCAATTACCTGCATAAACATTAAATGTAATCACATGTGTCCTTATGAGAGGAAGAGATGACATACACAGATGGGACAAAGCAGTATACCACAGATGCTGAGAGTAGAGTGATGTGGCCACGAGCCAAGGAGCACCAGCTGCCACCAGAAGCCAGAAGAGGGAAGGAACAGACTCCCCTAGAGGAAAGAGTATGGTCCTATCAGTGCCTTTGACTGTAGCCCAGTGACACTGGTTTCCAACTTCTGGCCTCTAGAACTATGAAAGGATACAATTCTGTTGCTTTAACCACTATCTTTAGCAGCCACAGGAAATGAACACACTGGTGTCCCAGCTGTACTCACCTTGGAGCTGCTTTCTCTTAAGGATTCCTTGCCCAGCATCTGCCCACATGGCAGAGCAAACCAGTGGTAAATCGCTCTTTGCTCCATAGAGGGCGCCCTGCCAGCAGCCCCTGGCAACTAACAAACCCCAGCAAGCAAGCAGATCCACATGTGGGTGTCCACACACATGGATGATCCCTGGGAGCCGCCCTGCTCAGGTGAGGAAACCTCTTTCAATAAAGTAGACAGAAATGGGTACAGCCAGTCCAGAACCAAGAGCGCTGCAGACCACAGGCTGCTACTGCATCCCTTCCTCGGGGCTCGGGGCCACTCGGCCTGACCAACTGTGATGTTTGCTCCTGGGTAGTCTTAAGTCTCATTGGCACCTGCATACTCGAGTCCACAGATAAATTTTTCTTTTCCCTCTATCTTTACAATCTGCTGCTTCTTCTATGTTTCCTATCTAAACGAATGGTTCCACTTCCCAAGCTAGAAACTTCCAGGTTGACCTTACCCCAACCAACCAAGTTCTTCCCAACTCTGACTGCTCCTGCCCGACCAAGACTTCCCACAGCCTCCGGGCTGGCCTCGTGGCCCCAGTCTCTTTCTGTTTAACTCACCTTCCACACACTTAATTGTGACTCCCCACCAGCCTACCTCAGCTGAAGACCTTTGGTTCGAAAGGTCCTTAATACTCTGGCCCCATCTCCCTCTGCTCTAGCCTACCTTCTCTCTCCTCCCACTTGAACTGCTTGCCTGTGCTCAGGATGCTCCTGGAATGCCCTTGCCATGTCTGCAGCCTGCAAGACTCACACTTCCTTCAGATGTCCCCTTCCCTGTAGCCATCCCCGACCCATCCCGACACAGCCGGTAACGTGGGAGTCCCTTCCCACCATGGGCAGTCCTGGAGTATGGCCTGAGTCACCCTGGGATGGGGTGGCCTGTGCCCTGGACCCCGCTTTGTGCTTGTGAGCAAACTCAGACCAAGGCTTGGCCCCACCCCCACCCCAGCCTTTGCACCCTTCCTTCCCTGTTCTAGGACTTCTCCTGCCTACATTCATACCCACATCATCAACCCATCCTAGCTATCAGGTAGAAAGTACAAGGAGGACCTGGGAGGCTCTCACTTCCTTGACATAATCCACATAGAAGGTAAATGGCTGTGTCCTGGTACAGTCTGACACCTACCGGTAACTAGGATTCTGCAGCTTAGCCTTACAAATTCCATGTGTGACCCTAGATGACAGGTGTGGGCAGGGCATTATTAGAGACTACTACTGTACCTTAAAGGCATGAAAGGCCAGTAATTCCCACTAATAGGGTTTAAAGTACAAATACACCCTATAAAAAGGCCTCATAATGTAAGTTACTACATTGCCACTAAAAATAGCCTCCACAGAGGACTGTAATGTTTACAGAATGCTCCTCATCCGTTCAACCCTTAAACTATCAAGTAAGCCAGACTGAGTGGGCAGTACTG